GACCTACGTTGAAAGCCTATAACAAAGTAGGATCGTTACATTTGACATCTTTTGCTTTCTTCATAATTAGCACTTGGATCTCTTTGGAAGGTGGTTTGATGAGTTTTTCAGTTATCCAAGTTGATGGGTTCATTGCATGCTTTTATGTCAATATTTCTATTAACTTGTGAGACATGTTGTCTTGATGAATTTCAAAGATCGAGATTTTGGATTCCGAAAGGGTTCTTTGGATCCAACACCATTCCCTCCTGGTGTTGGTGGAGGACGTGGAATTACAGCAGAAAATGTTCAGAGTTATGAAGTAATTACAGCAGATAAAGCAATTGATGAGAGCAACGTGGGTAACCGGATGCTTCGTAGTATGGGCTGGCACGAAGGCTCGGTATCATTCCTTCCTTTTTTGCCTCTTTTGCAGTTTTAATTATTGATCTTGTTGAATAAGATGCTTCTTTGTTAAACATCATAATCTATTCTTCTCTTAATAGGTCACTTGAATTTTCATACTGAAACAAGTTGTCTTCATTTTGAATAGCTTCTTTAATGCCATATCTGTTTCTACTTTGCACAAGAAGAAAAAATTTACTGGGAAAGAATATAATAAGAACCTTTTCAAGTATACCTGGCTGCCTCCCATAAACTTTCCCTTTGCTTCTTGGTATGTTAACAGTTGGTAGCTGTGTAAGTGCTCTGAGCAAAAGATCTTACTTGTTCTATCTTGCAAATTATTTTATTCTACTTTTTAATGGTTTCTGGGTTTTGGTATTTGGTTTGATGAACAGGGATTAGGAAAAAGATGGAAGTGGAATGATAGAGCCAGTGCAAGCACAAGCTGTGGAAAATAGAGCGGGGCTGGGGAGTCAACAGAAAAAGGTTGATCCAAGCCTTGAGGTGCAGGCAGGGGACAGTTACAAAACTCTTATTCACAAGAAGGCGCTTGCTAGGTTCCGCGAGATGTCGTAAGTAGACGAAAATGAAACTCGCACCATGAACAAATGTCATGGCTTGGTGTCAATATCTTACCGGGTGGATGGACATAGGCTAAAACTTGTTTAGAACTTGAAATTGTGTGTAAGCCCAGAACTGGATTTGTCTTACATGCTTGCTTGCAACTGTCCTTTGTAGAAGATAGGCTCTGTAGATCATGTAAAAACAAGACAGAAGAATCTTCAGACTTAAAAAATTTTTGTCTGCCTTTATTGGGGAGATAATGTCGGAGCTTCCACCATTTTTACAGATTGGCTACTGTTATTACTTTTTTTGTTAGTTTGTGTTTTGGCTTACACATTCTTTTGTCCGTCTTTATTAGTACTGCTACGGTAATCGCCAATTTGATTTGCCATGTTTCTGTAATCTTGTAGCTCACCAAGGCATTGGAGTGGAAGGATTCTATGATTCTAAAATATAAATTCATTTACAGGGAGCCAACAACACATTAAAACATCTGTAACTTCAAATTTACTTCTTAGTTGTACCTGACTTAATCTTTTAATAAAAGCTTAATAATAATTTTTTTGAAAATGTGAAATTGGAAATATCGTAATTTTAATTGAGTTCATACATTAAAAACACAAATCACAGTTCAAAGATTCATAAAGTTTAAGTGTGTATCCATCAGGAGTTTGATTTATCATCACAAACGTTGGTGCTTTTGAGATGTTGACAATGCAAATAAATGCTTAATATTACGTCTGTTCTAAATTGATTAATTGAAACAAAAATAGAACATAATTAAGATCATTCCTAAGAAACTTAATGAAAATTTTACTTTTTATATCTTATTAAGAAATATTGAAGGAGTAATATATAATATATTTTTCTGAATATTACTCATTATAGAAAAATTATAGAGAATTTTTTTGCACTTATGAAACTAAAAATATTACTCGCTCAAATTGTGCAATATCATTCTAAAACTGTCGTAGCTTGAGTAATTGTTTTTCGAATTAGATCTCTTAAATAATTATACGAATCAATTATTAAATTAATAAAAAATAAGATAATCAAATACTTCTATTATAACATAAAAACGTTTACGAGGTTAAAAATGTGAATATAAGTACATGTTAATTAAAAATTTTACAAAATTAATTTTTAATAAAAATAAATAATTAGATTTTTAAATATTTAATTTAGCTATCATAATAAATAATTTATTGAGCCAATTATTTAAAAAGTATAAATTGAAAAAAAAAAATCTAATTAATTATTTATACTTTAACCGATATATTATGAAAAAATAAACATAATAATTAAACCACTTTTAAGCTTTAAAATAAATAATTTTATATTATT